ACAAATATCGTGATAGCTGGGGCAAAAATGGCAGAGTTTTTTTCCACAGAACAGAGTCAGAAAAGGGACTTTTTTTCTCTGCCCCTGGTCTTCTTCCAGGAAACTCTCCCTCAGAGAAGGACACACTTCATTATGACCTTCACACGCAGCTCTAGCTCAGTAGGTGCCCTCCAGACCAGATTTATGGACAACCTGAATATAGAGTCAAAATGCTTTGGGGAGAAAGATGAGTGGACTATATAAGTCCCCCTCACCCAGAGTCTAAATGGGAGTCATTCCCCAGTGCCCCAAAACAGTTGCTACAGGGAGATGGAGGAATGGACACTAGAATAGCACAGCTAATAAAATCCCTCCATTTCCTCTCACGCTGGACATGTGTGCATCCTAAAGAACAGGGGCATCTGAACTTCATGGCTCCACAATGAGCCAAAAATTCAGATCCAAACACCCAAGAAGCTTCAGCCTAGCAGTGCCAAGTTTGGCCTGAGCTGCAATCTTTAGTTTGTCCCCAGAGGGGACTCTGAAGTCCAAAAGAGGTGGGAAAGGCAAAGAGTCTGATTGTCTTGCAGCCCTGTGTCCATGAACGAGGCAGAGAAAAGCTAGTGAGCCTAGTCAACAGGATCGGCTCTAGGCACCAGCAAAGCAAGCACGTGCTTGGGACGGCGCATTTCCAGGGGCGGCATTCCAGCCATCCTTTTTTTTCAGGGCAATTGTGCTCTTGGAGCTGCACCACTTAGACAGGGTGAGGGTGCCGCGCCCCCGGCCACAGCGGGAAGGGGAAGCCCCAGCACCGGGATGCTAAGCTGCTAGGGCTCAGCCACTACCTGGGGAGGAGAGGGCGAATCCTGCCAGGGAGCCAGGGCTATGCCACCTCATCTGCGCACTGGCTGCTGCACTGCCTTGTGCCACCCCTTATATCGGGGCTTCTCTGCGCGGCTGGGCAGGGGAGGGGTAAACTCCTGCAGGCACTGGGAGAAGGTGACATCACTCCCTCCGCTTCCAGCGCTGCCTGCGAGCCTCAGCCCCACCTGAGCTTGGGGCAGCAAATTTTTTGCTTGGGGCAGCAAAAAACCTAGAACCGTCCCTGCTAGTCAAGAACTTTCTAGAGCTTCCAATGGCTGGTCCCTTTTTGCGTTTCCCTCTCCTTGTTCATGCACTACCAACTGCAATGACTCTTAGCTCAAGTTCATTTGGGGCTCATTCAGCCCCTTGTTTTGCTTCTACCGTCAAGTTCTCTGGCTAACCTGTAGCCCCCTCAGAATTACGAACCAAACCATCAGGTAAATTTCAGCTACACCCAAGGGCCTTACCTTTCAGTGTCCGTTGGGGGCTCTTCCCCCTCCTGATTCTTGCTCTCGGGGTCTCCATGGCACTCCTCAGAGTCTGACATTTTATTTCCTTGCTAACAACCTTGTCAAATCGACGGGCTCTGCAAAGAGCTCTGTAAGAGTAGAGTGTGTGTGCGCGCGCGCGTGCGTGTATTCACTTTCATACCACCCTTCCTGTCCTCTAACCCAGCAACAAATGATGCCGGAAGCCTCTGAGGTTTGAGGGGGGTTGGGAGTTCTTACTCAGGTTATATTTAAGGTTTTGTTTCCATCTACTGCCTAAAAATCAGGAAGTACTAACCCGAGCTGCAGGGGAAGCATGGGGCAACAGCCACTCGTAGGGCCTGAGTAGAAAGATGTCTGAGAGACAGGCCATAGCCACTCATAGTACTAAAGTACTAAATGGCTGCATCTTTAAGTGGCAACATTCGATAACATCTACGTGCTAAGGATTGGTTCTGTCCAGGCCACAACGCCTTGGCCACAAAGCCACGGAGTGCAAGACTGAGTGCAAGACTGTCCCAGCCACTGCCACTATCATCTCCAACATACACACTGGCCTAACCCAGAAGCCCCCTTTGCCCAAAGGTGCACTGCTAGCGGTTCCCGGGGGGGGGGGCTTGCAACTCTGCGCAGCCTCCTTTCCCCAATCTAGCCGGGCTGTAGTGCTTGGTGGATTCCCTTGTGTCTGCTGATGCCTACATAAATGCTTTCAGGCACTCGCACAAGGGTGAGGGATTACTGAAGGCAAAACCGGACAATGTTCAGAAGCAGCTGAGCGATCCAGTCCACCTAGGCTCAAAAGTTCACTTTGGGACGTTCCTGTGACAATCACAGGTAACAAACCTTTTTGTCAACAGAGCTGAGGCTGGCGTAGGCAAAGGAGCTCCTCTGTTGTTTATGTGTTGGCCAGGAAAAGACATGAACTGGATTTCTCTGTCCTGAGCGTAGGAGAGCCACCAGGAAAAAGAAACACCTGAATCAGATTTCTGTGCCCAATTGAAATACAACCAACACAGCTGCTATGTGGAGATGCAATTGCACAAGAGTGTGCTGTGCTCAATCGGCAAGGCTCAGATTGCAGAATTGCTTTAAAAAAAAAACTGTGCGGTGGAGTGCAGGGGAAGTGGCAACAGCCCCTTCCTATTACACAGAAGTTCAAATTCAAATCTCCAGTAGAATATGTCCTGCCAAAAACTACCCTGCCTCTCTCCTACCAGGCCTGGTACCCACCTCCTACTTATCTTGCTGACCATAGCAAGGCCTGGTTGTCTTTTCCCTCTTCAGGAGTCCTGGGTGGCCAGTCCTTCATCTTACATCTTTGGTTGGGGGGTTGGGGAGATACAATTTGATCACCTGCCATCCAGGAGAGCAGCCAAGGGGAAGGGCTAGCAAGGAGAGCCCCCTCCCCCACCCCAAACACACATTGTTCTCCAACCACTAAGGGCACCCTGAAAGTTCCCCAGCTCCTGAGCTTGGGTTTATGGGGTGCCATATGCCCTGAGACACAGTGCAGAGTTTCTGTAATGGGAGAACTCCCTGCCCTCTCCCAGGAGATTTTGGGGGTTTGGAGAGGGGTAACTGCCCTTCGCTGAAGCTAATAGAAGATGGGGGACTGGTTTAGCTTGTGCCCCTTGCAGAGCCAGGGAGGGAGCCATTGACCCCACAAGGGAGTGGGATAGGGAAGTGGCTAGAACTCACCTCATTCCCTCTACAGCAATGATAGTAAAAGAGGTTGCAGGGCTCAAAGCGAGGAGGAAAGGAGGGAGAGAAGCTAGCTGGTGTTTGGATTTCCCTGCTCCCCAAACATCTTCTCGGAGCAGAAACCAGGCTGCTCCCAGTAGTGAGAGAGGGAGATTTCACCTGGCTCAGCTAGATATGGGCTCTGAGTACCAGGGCCGCCCAGAGGATTCAGGGGTCCTGGGGCAAAGCAATTTTGGGGGGCCCTTCCATAAAAAAAAGTTGCAATACCATAGAATACTATATTCTCATGGGGACCCCTGTGGGGCCCAGGGCAAATTGCCCCACTTGCCCCCCCCTCTAGGCGGTCCTGCTGAGAGAGGAACCTCCAGGAGAGGAAAAAACGTGGAACAGATTTCTGGATTGAGCTATGCAGGGTTCTGTCTCTCTTCTTGTAGAAGAAGAGAAAACAAGAGAACCTGGAGGGGGAACCCGTGGCTGGCAGTAGAGCACACTGCACCCATTTCCTTCCTGTGGCCTCTCTCACTGCACTAATCCCCTGAACTCTTTCTCAACCTGCTCATGCAACAAGCATCTTCTCCAGCAACCCCGAAGCAGCTCAAAAAACATAGCTATCACAAAGGTGCTTTTCCCCACTAGGCCTGGCTAGGTGGTGGGAGGCAAAGGGGGTTATGTTTGCTCTGGGTGGCAGCTTCGTTTTAATTGAGCTCCATCCAACGCCCATAATGGGCCCAATTCTCCTACCATTGAAGAGAGTGGAAGTTTTGCCACTGACTTCAATGGGGGCTTGCCTGCTGAGAAAAGATTTCTGATTTTAGATAAGCAGAGCTTGCAGATAGATGTGAACCAGCCCAACAAGAAACCTCTTATCCATCTTATCCTATAGATAAGTATACAAGGAATGTTCCTTCCCTTGCCTTATCCGTTCTGTCATGGTATCTTAGAGGGGTGGACACATGAACGGGCACTTATTAATTACTAAAGATTCCTCAGGATGCTATCAAGATGTAGCAGATCAAAGGAAAGATGTTTAGGAGAGAAGAGGGTCTCAATTTTAGGCATAGCCTAGTGCGATACACAGTGATAATCTCATTACAGCTCTAGTCTGAAAAGGTAATTATGGTCTAAAAAGTGACAGGGAAGAAGAAAATAAGTGGCCTCCTGATGCTTCATATTTATTCTTTCACTGGTTCCCACAGCTATTTGCTAAGGTTACAAGAGCTCCTAGCTCCTGCCATTGAAGACTTAATCTGGTGAAAATCAACGGAGGGTTCTTTCTGCTTTGAACACCATCAGCAACAAGAGAGAGTGTGGAATCAGGACACAGTGAGACACTTGTCCTGGATGGATAAACAATGAAAATGCAGTTCTAACTTCACCTGCCAACAGCAATTAAGAGTAGAGTGGGTTCTCTAACCTATGCTCTAAGGCATGGGAGCAGCTCTGAGAGAGAAAAAAGGTGCAATTTTTACTGGTGAATTTTCTGATAATAGCCCCCAATGGTTAAAGCAGTTGACAGCCTGTGGGCCAGACTCTGATCTCAGTTACGCCTGTATAAATCCAGAGTAACTCCATTGACTTTGATCTCTCTCTTATATAGCACTTTTCATCTGTAAATGTCAATGCATTTTACAAAGGAGGAGATAATCTTAGTCCCATTTTACAAATGGAGAAACTGAAGCATGGAGATGAAGTAACTTGCCCAAATAGGCCAGTGGCAGAGCTGGGAACAAAACCTAGGTCTCTCAAGTCCTAGTCCAGTGTGCTAGCCATTAGTCTGCACTGACTCATTAGTTATCCCATCAGGGCTTCTAAGTACTGGTTTTGGCACTCCAACAAGACTCTTGCTAGCCAATAGGGTCACAGTAATTGGTAAGGCCATAATTCATGCAGCTTGATCATCTGCAGTCTCTATAGAGGTATTTATTATCCCCTCCTCCCTCAGGAAATAAGTGGTCATGTGACACAAAGTAAATTCATGCCTTGCTCTCCAAGGCTTAAAAATTCAACCATACTTTCAAAGCTTTATTTACACAGTTAAGATCACTTTGATACACCAGATCCTACAAAATTACAGGGTTAAACTGCATTTGATTTCAGTTCATGCCACTAGCATTGTTTCAAAATGTAATTATGACATTGCATGATTTAAGACAGTTGTTTCCATAGCAACAGTAGGGGGTGAGACTGAAAGTAGGTCTTGTGCCTTGGATTGCTTTGTGAAATGTGACCTTGGGCTCAGGAAGTTTAGCCCTAAACAACGCTGCTAGAGAGCTGGTTTGAAAAATAGGTGGCAGGAGAGATGGAGAAGGAGAAATTTGGAAATTGCCTAGATACCAGGATTACAGTTAACAGCTGCGTGGGATTTAGGATTCACTAGTCTCAAACATCTTCTTCCTGCCCTCCATGCCAGACTTCTCCTCGATGTTCTTCCTCCAGTCACCCACATCACGCAGATCCTTCTCCTGTTGGCATTAGGGAAAAAAAACCATGGAAGTACTGACAACGCTGGGTGGTATTCACGCCCATCCTTGTATTCTTTAGCTAACATCCATCCCAGTGTAGCACAGATACCACCTGGGATTCCAGTTAGCAAACCTATCTAATATCCCTAAGGGATGAGATTCACCCCTGTGCAGAGGACTGGATCAAAGCTTATGCCCCACAAACCATATTTTGAAGAACTTGATTGGGATTTAAGTGATGTCTGGGCCTTATGCTCGTCCTTAGTTCAGGGGTGAAATGCACCCCTAGTGCTTTTCATCCCACAGTGCTTTCCAAACCATCCATTCAGAGATTGTTTCACCCACTGTTGAAATGCAGCCCCCTCTGATATGGAATGAGGCAATTTCTTTAACAGTGCAGAGCAGCTCGGAACAACAGTTTGGGTAAGGAAGCGAAGAAGAGTTTATCTAATAAGAGGAATTTAGGTTAGTAGGATATTACCCCGAACTGGAAGTTGATCGGGACTCTAGAGATATATCACAAAATCATAGACAGCAGGGCCAGGAGAGAGCATTTGGATGATTTAAGTCTGAATTTTGCAGGTCTGCTCACTATGACATTCTTGCTAATGTCACCTAATCTGTAACTGGAGTGGAATATCCTCCCCTAGATACCAAGCATGAATGGGCAAAGTAAAATAGTTTGACACAAAGCTCTTAATCCACCCACAGATGGGGAGGCCATTAAAATCTAGAGTTTTCCCACTTGGTAGTAAAAATGTATGGCAGTGAGAGAATCCCAAACCATCTCCCACTGTGTGGCTTTGGGCCACAGCCATGTGTACATCCTCATGACAGCTGGGAGGATTTAGAGATAGGAGGAAAATAGGGAAATGACCATGTGGCAGAGACAGGGCCACCCTCAGAATGTTAGAAAAGGCTAGAGCAGCCCAGTGTCAAGTGCAAACAATACAAAGGTTGGATAGCAGAAGTACATAAGGCAAGTGATTGGGAGACCGCAGCCTTTTCTGAGCAGCCAGGGTCTTTGGTCCAGAGAACCATTGGCCAACTGGTCCGCGTATGTGTTACAGGTCCCCTGTGCGCCCAACCCACAAGGAGGAGAGCCTACTATGGCTGCAGGTGGGGAGCTAAGCACTTTAGCTTAAGCTGTTGTAGCTCATGCTTTTAGCTCTGGAGGTCCCCAGTTTAGTCCCCAGTGCGTTGGTCAAGATGTGGCTGTCACACCAGTACACAGGGAAGTCTGATTTCCAGCTAATAATGCCTGGATCCTATTACAATAGGGGAAGTTGTGTGGTACCTTCTCAGTGTCCTCCTTCTTGACCTGCTTCAGGTTAGCGCGAAGGTCCATGCAGACCTTGTGTTTGGAGCCCAGAAGGGCACGCAGCATAGCATCAGCAGACATGCGGACCCTACGCAGGGGTGGCCTCTTGAACTTGCCCCTCAGGTCAAACAGTTTCTGGCTCAAGTCTTCAAGCTACAAAAAGAAAGAAGAGATGGGGAGAGAGGGGAAAATGATGTGAGATGGACCCATAGCAGAAGACGAATGGACAGGTGCACACACAAGTACATATAGTGTGATAGAAAGGAAACGCCATCTACGAAGGCAAAGGATTAGTTTGACAAAGCTTAGGCAAACACGGAAGACATGGGCATTTGGGAGAGTGGGCAGGTACAGGGACGGTGGGGTAGGAGCACAGGCAGCAGATACATGCTGTAGAGAGGGACAAAGCGTGGGGCTGGGCACACTCCACTGATCTCCACATCAGCAGCGATGGGAGTGCCAGGGAAGATTACCTCTTTGGTGGTTTTCTGTAACTTAGCCTCAGTGTCATATCTTTCCTCATCCACCACCTCTATCTTGGCATGAAGCTTTTTGCATAGCTCCTGCAGAGAAAGAGAAAAGGATGTGGGCCATTGGAAAGCATGTGACTCACACCGCCTACCCTTTCCACAACTTCCTCCAGTTCTGTAAGAGCTCAGCTCAGGTGTGGCTCCGAATCTCTGTACTTGGGATGCATCTGAACCAGTTCCTGGTCTCTCTGTTCCACCTGCTTTCTAAGGCTCCAGCAGCTTAACACAATTGACAAGTTGGCTTACCCATCGGTTGGGAGTTCCCCTGGCACAAGGGAATTGCACATGGCCACTATAGCCAGCCTCTAGCCAGCCTCTCCTCTGCCCACTGGCCCCAGTAGGCATGTCAGGAGCATGACTGAGGCAAAGGGGTGCGGTCAGAGTGCTGCTGCTGGAATGACCCCTTGGCAGCTCTAGGCTGCTTCTCAGGGCCACACTTCCGCCAAGGGGACAGGTTCAGGAGAGGCAGAAAAGAGGCTTTCAAGCCATTTTTTCCTCCCCCAGCTCAGCTGGCCAAGCTCTGCTCTAGTGCAGCTCAGAAACGAGTCCAAATATTGCTCCATGTGGCTTTGCATCGGGCTTTTGCATTTAAACTTCCTCAACTGTAATTGGTTTCCAGTCAAAGATCCAAATACAATAGTGCTGGAAATGTCTGGTGCCCACCCGCTAGGGAAAGTAGTGCATTTAACTGAGTAGTATAGAATGCTCTCAAGCAAGCCAAGAGAATTCCCCTGTGACCCTCATGCGGGAATGATGAGTTGTCTTAACATGGAGTCTTTGGGGGAATCTGGAGGACTCCTTTCTCCTCCACCTTAAAGAAAGATTGCATTGGGCAGGAGGATCTGTTGTATAAATGCAACCTAGTATGACTGTGAGTTGAAAGGCCCCAAACAAAATCAACTTGATACCTCACCTCTGAGTTCATGATCAAAACTATTGGACATATGGAAACAGCTGAGCAAGGTTCCCTCTCCAACGTTTTGAGTGATACATTCAAAGTTGACCAGCCTACTTTAGAAATTTTTAAAAAGCCAGAATCCATTTCTGGACCCACAAGTTTTCATCTCTACTTTGTGGGGGAGAGAACACCACAAATGCACTGTAGAGCCAGGACTTCACCTCTCACTGGCTACTATGCCAGAAGTGGAACAGAGGATGTAGAACATGGGTGCTCAAATTGTGAGTCATTACCACCAGGGGGCGTATGAGGAGATGACAGGGGGTCACAACTACCTGTCTTTCCTAAATTCCCAAACAGCAGGCACGTCCCTGCTCAGTCACAAGGGTTTCATGGGATTGAAAAGGTTGAGAAGCACCAATTTAGGGAAATGGGCAGTGTGTTGGGTTGAGTTGGAAGAGCCATATATGTGGGGTAAGGCAGAACCCTAAACCTTTCTGCTCTTGCGTAGGAGAAAATGGAAGAGACAAAGCTGTTACCTGCAACTCCTGCATGGAGTGTGGGAGTGACAAAGGAGGACAGTGCTCGGCAAGGTAATTGGCCTTTTCTGCTTCTTTAGCTGCTGTTTCTTTCTCTAGGAGAGTAGCAGCAATCTGGAGCATAACACTCTGGAGGGGAAAAAAAAGAACACAAATCCAGTTACTTGTGTGAGTGAGCAGCAATGGGGAGGGAGGGAGCTCACAGCTACTCCAACCCCTGTATTCTCAGCAGGAATCACTGAAGAAGTGCTCACTGCAGGGGGGGTCATGGACACTTCAGTCCAACTTGTTGCCCACAGGAGTTGCTTCTTGTAGGAGATGGCATAGGAGTGCTGGATGTGGGGAGCACACAGCTACTCCCAGGACCAGCTTCTTTCAGCAAGAGACCCCAACCATAGGGAATGTTGTAGGAGCAGTGATTTGGGAAGCTTTGGGCTACCCCAGCCATTGGCCGGCCTGGAGGAGGATTCACCAATGATGGGGAACTTTCAGCTGTTCCAGTCCCAGCAGGAGGCACTGTCTGGAATGGGGTAGGAGGGAGCACCAATTTTGGGAGCGCCTGGTTTTTGCAATCAGGGGGCAGCTGCAGGAGCACTGGCTGGCTCAAGAATGGACAGTAGAATGGTTGTGGACAAATCCCATACTTCATGCAAGATCAGGAATAGCACGTACCTTCAGATGCTGCCGGCGGGCAGTGATTGCCCTCTTCCTTTTCTACAGGTGGGAAGAAAGAAAGACAAGGCAGGTTCACCACATGCTTCCTCCCCACCCCTTCCCATATAATGCTAATGATAGTTTTAGCATCTATATTCCTCCCCAGAGCCTGCCCAGAATGGGAAACAAGAGAAGAACTGCACCCACAGCACGAAGGGATCTGGCATCAAGCCCCCACCCAAATCCTTAGCAACTGGTCTCCAAACTAGAAGACACTGACAGTTTGCTGCAATCCATATATGCCAGCAGAGCTCAGCACAGATCTTCCCTGCTAACCCCAGTATTGCCAACTCTAGGCATTCAGCAAATATGAGTCAAACCTCAAATCCTGATTGGCTTAGAAATCATGAGCGTTCTTTTTAAAAATAATAGAGTGGGGCCCTTTCCATTCCCCCTCCAGTTTTGGACCCCTGTAGGGGTCACATGTTCTAGCTTTTCTCTGCAGCCAAGAGAGCTAGGAATGTGTGCACTTTAAAAACTGAAAGCTGAGATTGTAATCCCAGGACTCCAGGAGGTGGAACTTTAAGAACACCAAATATTGTGAGACTTATCAAAATTATGAGAGATGGCAACTTTGTTAAAAAGTCAATAGTACTAAAGGGCCAGTGAATGGGATGCAGGGGAGAGAAGCATGGAGGAGGTAGCATGTTAGAATCAATCCCACTTTCCAACTCATCCTTGGCCTAGCAGTTAATTATCTTTCTATTTACGGCTTTAAGGCTGACTGGGGAGACAGGGCTGTGGGATGAGCGGATTCCTCGTCACAGGGGTATGAGCACAGCAGTGGGGCTGCGCATGCAGGGAAGCACCTATATTCATCACTCCAAGGGGACAGGCAGAGCAGCAGGAGACAGGACAAAAGCCAGATTTACCTTCCACAGCTCCCCCTCACCTTTGCAGGAAGGAAAGGTGGGACATAACCAGCTTTGTCGCTGCAGAGGAGTGAGAAAAGCACTGGGACTATGGGAGTGGGGAAGCCAGATTAATTGCTCCATGAGGAAGAGCAAAGCCGAAGGGGGCCGTGGGAGCTGCCAGGCAGGAGGCAGGCATGGAGGCAGGCATCAACAATACAGCAGCAATACACTCCATTACCTTGTGTGCATTGAGCTGGCCACGAACCTATGCCCCGACCCCTTGTTCGTGACCGCACCTTGGTTACCTGACTATCGTTTGGGCAGGTAGGATAGTGACAATAAAGGAATTGCTCTCCAGGACAAGAGTCTAGGTCCAAGTTTCACACATTGGCCAATACCCTGATGTTGCAGAGGAAAGTGAGAATCCCTCCCCCATTAAGCACTTGGGCAATCAGGTAATGCTGCCCATGGGGGTGGGGCTGCAGGAGTCCAGGAGACATGTCGAGAGTAGCTTTTGCATTGGGCTTTTTTTTTTTAATTTAATATGAAAAAGAAATCCTCACTGAGTAATTTAAATGTCTTTCAAATGGATACAAAGCACCAAACTTTATTCATTTCCAGGCTACATGGGCTAGCAGAAATACTCTATTTACAGAAGCCACAAGCTCTGTCCCACACTGCACTGCATCTGTTTCCTGAGCATTTCATCATAAAGACTGTGTGCATCTGAGTGTGGTTGGGGTGGGGGAAATAGACACATTTGATGTGCATTTGTGGAGGAGGGGAAGAAGCATTCTGTGCTTTATGGGGGGGGTAGGAAGAGGATTAAAAACAGTAGCTCGGTAGATAATTATTTACATTTCAATTGCACCTTTCATCCGGAAAGAGTGCAGAGCCCACTATGGAATATGTAAAGATCATTTCATCATGGCAGAAAGGCAACCACCTCTGAGGTGCAATGCAGCAGTAGATTAGCTGCACACAGCATCTTAGAACAGCAGAAGAACACCCTACACACAACTGAAAGTGCAGAGGGAGAATTAGAGAGGTGAGTTATTATGACTTCAGCTAGAATTTGACCAGAATTTGACTAGAATTTGGTGCTAAAACTTTTACTTTGAAAAGAATTGCCCAGGGATTTCCTTCAAACTTGATTTCAATGGGTGTTAGCTTAAGTAATGACTGACTGAAAACTGGGTAAGGACCTCATGATTTGATCTGATGGATGAGCAGAACCTAGGTTTTGCCTGGCATCTGAAAGGCAGCACCCCCAGAACCAGAGTGTCCCCCATCCCTGTGTTATGGCATTGGTGCAAGAGGGAATCAAACTATCACCATGCAGTGCTTGGGTTTCCTTGGAGTTCTCCCCTATCCAAGTAATTACAGACCCCATCCTGTGTCACTTAGGAGATCGGCCAAGGTTCCACCGTGAAGCGACACACAGAGCAGGGTATTCTGGATGATGCTCACAGAACCAGCATCAAGCCTTGCAGTGAATTGCTTCCACTCCTCTACTTTACTATGGGGCAATTCATCCCGATACTGAGTCCGTAACAGCTCTCTGGACAAAATCGACCCCAGCTCAAGGCCTATGCATCACATATGCCTCAAAAAAACAGGGGTAGAATTTCACCCAGAGTGAGTCAGAGACAAGCCAGACACAGCAGAAGGAACAGGTAGATTCTACAGGGAGGGAGGAATTCTTCTGAGGGGATTCCACATGTGCCCCTCCCCATCCAGGCTTACACTGCCGATGGGACTCTTCAAAATCTTTCACAGCCATTCCCAGGCTGGCCAGAGAGTTGAGCACAGCTTGACACAAAGGCCTGATCCTGTTCTAACTGGAGTCAAGAGGCGTTTCTAAGTGGGCAGCCTCATGCTAACCCAGAGTCAGGTCACAGAGAATCACCTTCAAAAAGGGATTAGACAAGGATTGGTGGGTGCAAAGGGATCAACATCATGCACCACAGCCAGCTGAGCCAGAGAGGATGCACCTTTGCGGCCATTCCTGTCTCTATAATTGCCTCTGTTGCTGTAGAAGCTACGCGGCTAATGGACCATGAACACCTTCCACTCAGCTGGGGCAGCAGGTACATCTTCCACAGCACCATCTTGTGATCAGCTAGGGAAGCAAGGATGCTCTTGGGGGAAATCCAACCTGCAAACTACAGCCAAGAACCACACCTCCTCCAAAACACTATCTCCTGCCTTTCAGCTGCTGAGCACTTGTCCTTTTAAACCTTTTTCGTTTGCGTATTTAGTTAGGTGAGTTTTATAGATCCACATTTCCTTCTAGGAGCTGGTCTTTTTAGCAAGATAGCACAAAGCCAAATGTGATACTATCCCCATGAAACATTACTAAGAAAAAAATCCCAGAGAGAGAGACTTACTTCTTCACTGTTCAGGGAGAAAGAGATAGAAAAAGGGAGGGAGGGAGGAAAGGAGAGAAAAAAGGAGATTAGTATCAGAACCAAAAACAAGAGACAGAATTTAGAAACAAAAGTTGGCACTTATTTTAAAGACTAAAAAGCAAACCAATGCCATCATGTTGGAGACAAAACAAGAAACTTACTCTGACATCTTGGTTTAGTGGATTTAGAACCTGCAATTAAAAAGAAGTGTTACAATTATTTGTGTTCAAAGTGAATTTCTTGGATTAATCAGAAAAGGACAGTTTCATCATAAAGAGGAACCGGTTCGTGCTTGTTTTCCAACTTCTGCAAAATCCAGTTTCCCAGAGAAGCAGGCTGTGGGTTATGGAGAGGTGCCAATCATGTTCTCACCCCAAACCAAGGAAACTGCAGCACCCAGAGTCTTTTGGATTGGACAAAATGCTCAGGGAACATGACAGCCATGGCAAAAAGTCCTCGTGTGTGAAAGGACCCCTGCAGCCGCCCCCGGCTTCCACCTTCTTTGATCATCCAGGCACCCCTTTTTTCACCAAGCGCACTATGAGAACACACTATGGTGGGCTGCCTGTTGACTCATCATGTATTTATTTTATAAACACTGTAGGGCAGGGAATTGAACCCAAATCCCTTCCTCGTCACAGGCTTCCCGAGTGGCCTTGGCAAGTCGCAATCTCTCTGGGCCTCGATTCCCCACTTTTTACAACGGGGATAATAGCACGTCTCTACCTCTCCGGGGCATCGTGGGAATAAATCCATGAAAGATGTGAGGCACTCAGTGACTACACGGATGGGGAGCCATAGATGGGAAGGTCAAGGCACCGTGTTTTCATTGGGTGTGTACAGCACTGAGCACAATCAGGTACCAAGCTGCTACAGCAACATAAATAATACATCATAGATTGTGCCTGCTAATCCCAGATTGCAGCTCTTTGTAGATTTGGGAGGGCTGGGGAAGGATGGAAGGAGTTAATTTGGACAAAGGAAGAGATAAAGGTCAAGGGGGCGGCGTAGAAAGCCACGCTGATCTCCTCAAGGAAACTTTATCCTGGAAAATGTGCGGGGGCCATCCCGTAACTAGGGAGAAAGTGCTTCTAAAAATGGTCAGGGCAGCTCGCAAGGAGCTCCAGCTGTCTCCTTGGGCTGCAGCCTTTCCCGGTGCCAGCCCTCATGAGTCAGGGAGGTCAAGGCAACGCAATGGCAACCACAAGAGGCAACAATACAGACAAGAGACTTGGCATCTGAGGAATGTGGGAGCTCCAGGCAGGTTATTTTTAAATAAAATTCTCCCTGCTCTTTTTAATGGCATCTTAAATGGCAAGTGGAAAGGAAGCCAGACAAGAAGAGCCTCACATTCTCTTCTATTTGACTAACTATATTAGCATCTGCTCCCTGCAGCCTTAACTTGCCTGTTTAACACATGGCATGCAAAAATCGACAGCAAATCAGAACTCTCTATTGGGAGACCAAGCTAGCGGGTTCCATACTCTGCAGATCTATTCAGCGTGGAAGAAACCCCTAGCACCAGATCATCAACTGGGGTAAATCAGAGCAGCTGATGGAGTTATGCTGATTTATACCACCTGATGATTTGGCCCCTATAGCCTTGGGAACTAGATCCCAGGTCAGATTTAAGCATTGTGGGTCTTTGCTTTTCCTTTAACTTGGTTACTTGAGCAAAAGCAATTGACTGGGGGACTGATAGAATCAAATATCGAGGGCATACCTGCAGTAAACAGGATGGATCATTTCAGGTGTGATCAATAAATACAATAGACATACCTGAGAAAGCTCAGGCTGACTGAACTGCTGGAGATGGGGTGCCAGGTTAATTGGAGTTTTAAAGCTTTCCCCACCTCAGCTGTGCCAGCAAAAGTCCAGACACATCAGCACTTATCTCAAACTCAGAAAGCAAGTTCCATTCCCCCTGACTCCTGTAACAGCAAGCTGGGTCAGTAAGAGACATGCAAAGGGCTCACCTAAGTCCCAAGGAGAAAAACAGACAGCACTGGTGGAAGGACAGGATCAACTGGCAAGCCACAGGCAGCTGGCTCAGGGAGGAGGTATAAATGGGTTTCTCCGATGGCTCAGCAGAAAAGCCACCTACTCTTTAAGGGCATGGAGATCTCCTCAGACCAATGACGTGCGAGGGTCCAGAAATACAGAGCACCTCCCTTGGCTAAAGCAGTCGATCCAGCCAGCATTCAAGGCGTCTTGGAGGAGAGAGAAGCTGCAGTGACTCAGGGAGTCTCTAGAGGGGAGGGAGATGGAGGTTTACAACTTTGTGGCAGGAGAGGGGGCAACTCTGGTGAATTGCAGTGATCATGGAGGAAGGAACTCTTCATTAGCAGCATTGATAAAGGCACAGCATTTGCATGGCTCAAAGGCAAGAACATTCTTCCTTTGGATGCTCACTCATATTGTGGTGAACCCCCCTCCTGTGCATGAGGCTCAGCAGTTTCATTACCCGATCAAGGTGTCCCAGGTGGCCAGGAGTGGAGCTCAGACAAAACTTTCCAAGCAAGGAGTGGGGGAAGGTGGTTAGGGGAAGGTTCAATGTCATGGCCCACTAACATCAGAGTCAGAAAAGAGAGGGCTCTGGCAGGCAGATCAGGACTGCAAAGGCCTAGGACCAGCTGTTACCTTAACAGAGGCCATGTCTATCCTACAGCGGCTAGAGCACCATAGTGTAGACCCTTCCCATATCAACAGAAGGGGGGTTTCCGTCAACGTAGTTAATCCAGTAGAACTCTTCCATTGACTTACCCATGTCTACACCAGGGGTTAGGTCAACCCAACTACAGCACTCAGAGCACAACATTTTTCAAAGCCCCGAGCGGCATAGCCAGGTTGATCTAATTTTTAAGTGTAGGCCAGGCCTAAGTGCAAATTAGGGCTGTAAGGCCTGGTCTACATTACAATGTTAGGTCGACACAAGCCACCTTGCATTGACCTAGTTGTGCATAGGTCTACACTTACATTTGTCTCCCACCGATATAAGGGCCCTGTTCTTGCAACACAGTAACACCACCTCCCCAAGCAGTGCTGAGCCAAGGTTGATGTACTGAGGTCAATGCAGTGTGAGTGTAGACGCTGAATTACCTATGGTGACTAGAACAGTCTTCCTAACACGGACCACTCTGGTCACAATTGTGACTCCACTGCCCAGGGTCACGGAGACCGGAAGCCCACTCCACTCCACTTTACAACTCAGTGAATTTTTGAAATATCTTTTCCTGATTGCTGAGCTTGGTGAGCACACTTAGCAGCTCTCCATTGTTGTGTGCACCACAACAGCTACATGCTCCAGACGCACTCCAGCCTGGAGTAGACATGAGATATGGGATCTTCTGGGCCTGTGGGGAGAAGAGGTTGTGGAGGCACAGCTCCAAACCAACCATAGGAATGTTGACATCTACGAGCAGATTGCACGGAGGATGCAGGAGAAGGGGTACAACGGGAACCAGCAGCAGTGCCGCCTGGAAGACAAAGAACTGTGCAGGCACACCAGAAGGTCAGGAAGGCCAACCATTGATCCAGTGCCAAGCCACAGACCTGACACTTTTACGAAGAGCTGCCTGCCATCCTTGGCGGAGACCCAACCACAACCCCGCACACCACTGTGGATACTTCTGAGGAGCCCAAGTCACAGGCCCCTGCTATGAACAGTGAGGATGAGCAGGAGGAAAAAGGAGGATGGGGGACCTGCAACTGGGGGATTCCACCTATGCCAGGAGCCACGACCTGTTTGAGGCTCCACTGCAGTCCAGGCAGTCAAGCACAGATAAACCCATTGCAGGGGTAGGAAGCTCAGATAAGTGTGTAAATTTATTCTCCATTACAAGGATGTACTGACAGTACCCCCCCTACTTAACAGGACACAGCTATCAACTTTTCATGACTTTACGCAGACTAGAAGAGGTAGCGGTACAGCAGAAACAGGTTGAGTTATCTGCTTTACACTCCCCTATAGAGGTAGGCATAGGGGACCATGCGGAGCAGTTTGTTTACATACACAGGGATGTCCCTTGAATCTTCCTGAGAGATCTTAATAGAACTTTCACGTAGGTACTCTGTAATCCTCTCCTGAAGGCTTCTAGAGACGGCTGCCTTAGTTCTTCCTCCGTGGTGGGACACTTTCCCACACCCGTTGGTAATAACTTCGGCAGGCACCATTGCAGTACACAGGCTAGCAGTGTACAGACCCAGCTGGCTTTGGAATTCCAGCAGTAACTGTGTTCTCTGTGCCTTTATTACCCTCAGAAGTGAGAGATCAGCTAAAATCACCACCGCCTCTGGAGAACGGTGCTAGCATTCATTGCCACTGCCCTAGATTCCCACATCTACTTACATGCAACCGAGCAATTCCTTCCTCATTTCCCTCACCCCAGCAGGCCACACTCACCAGAGCTGGTCCTGTGAGCAGCACCACGCACAAGCACTCTGAAGCAGAAGTGTCTAAAGCATGTCTTGCTTAAAACTTTAGGGGAGTGAGGGAAGGAAGTTCTAAACTTAAATGTTCACTTTCCATTGCGACCATACTGACAATGGCACCCGTGTGGGTTTTATCGGCAGCTGTTGTGGCCTTGAGGAGTCAGCAAAAGTTTGTAGTGTAGACATGGCCTAAGAAGCCTGCAGTTTACATTCACTCCCTACCACCATCTTCCCTTCCCGGCCCCCTGCAGTTGTAGCATGTGAAACAGTGGTCCCCAAGCATACAATGTGATCATAAGTTCATTTCACCTTCAATTTCACATGATCAAAATTGACAAGCCCGCCATCCCTTCTGCACATGGTGCTTCAACACAATGAGAAGCATTTTTAAAAAGCAAACCAAAAAGGGGGTTAAATAAAACCCATCCTTTATAGTTTTACAAAATGAATAATCCCAACCTGTACTGGAGAAAATAAAGATATTTCAGTAGTTCTGGGGGCTCATCTCAGTAGCATGCTTGTGGCTGGCTGAATTCATCCACGTTCACACTGGTGGGTATGTTCAAGGGCCCCAAAGAGCTACCTCTTGCAGATCTCTTCTAGCAATCCATGCACACATAGGTTATTGGCCAAATTCCCACCTTGGAAGAAACTATCATGCTTTTGGCAACACAACATGGACAGGGCCGTTACTGTCTTTTTTCAGGTAGTCTGCTGTGGGCATCAAAATGGACACAGTTTTTTCCTCTAGCAGCCCAAGGGAGGGTGTGAGCATGGCAGAACTGCACTGCACAGTGGGAAACAGAGGGGTGGGAGGAGAGGCATTAGAATACTAGCCCCGGTGAAGTAAATAGCAACATTCTTCCCAACTATAATGAGGTTAGGATTTCTTTCTGCTCCTTAGCACTCTTCACCCATCGATTGCAAGGCACATTAAAAAGGTGGACTAGTGTCAGAATCTTCATGTTACAGACGAAGAAAAGGAGACGCACAGAGGTGAAGTGACTTGCCCACGGTCACAAAGTAAGAATTAGAAATCAGGGTCCTAGATTCCCATTCCCGTACCTGCTCTACCTCATTCTGCTCCCCCCTTACACTCCAACTCCACTGGTGTTTCAAGGCCAATACAAAGTCAGCTCTGGCATCATCTTTAAAATAAGTAAGCCTTTAGCAGCAAGCTCACTGCTGCAGACTTCCTGTTCTGCTACCTTCTAGCATCAGAGCAGCCACAGATGCTGTTGCCTACAGCACGGCAGATAAACAGAAAGCCCAGAGTGTGAAGGGCCAATTTCTCACCTTAGCAGCAAATGAGTTTTTCCCCTCACAAGAAGTGAAATTTTCAATGGCAACACCCATCTTCCCTACCCAGCAACCCTTTTGTGGGATAGAGGTGAGAAAGAGCGATTCTGTAACATCAGGGACTAGACCATCAGCAGTTGTAAACCGGTGCAGCTTCACTAGTCAATGGACCTATGCCACTTTACACTAGCTGAGGATCTGACCCCATGGCTGTAATCCACCTCAGGGCTCTTGGAAATACATAGAAAGATTTTTAGCTCATCAGAAGTCTCTTGCTGATGGGAGGAAGGAGATGCACACTATTAAGTGCTCTTGGTACTGCCACTCTCATTCCATGAGCAAGCACGTGTATAAAATTACATCCCTGTTTTCATAACCTTGGCCAGGAAGTTCTTTCTTTGTGGGGGAAGGGACTCTCTTCCTTTCTATTATGGTAGTACCTAGGAAGAACAAGGATGAGGGCCCCATGTAAACTAGACTCTGTGCAAACAAGTCACAAAGATAGCCCCTGCTATCAGAGCTTCTCTGCTACACGGAAACACAACTCAATTGCTGAACAGTACTGCAAGTCAAGTTTACTTACTAAAACGTCATGTGAAGACAATATGTGAAGACAAACTTGGCTTTTACAGGTTTCAGAGTGGTAGCCGTGTTAGTCTGTATCAGCAAAAAGAACGAGGAGTCCTTGTGTTACCTTAGAGACTAACAAATATATTTGAGCATAAGCTTTCGTGGGCATAGTCTCTAAGGTGCCACAAGGACTGCTCGTTCTTTTGGCTTTTACAGTGCATGCATCACAGTTGGAAAGGTGACTACTTTTTGCCATCTGCTGGTAGAACAGCAGCATAGCAGAGGTTCACTTCCTTTCTCTCCTCCCAGCCCCGCCACCCCCTCATTTCCTTCCCCTGGGAATGGCCCTCGTTCACAGGAGCCAAGAGAGCAGCGTGTATGTTTTGGTTTAATAGCCAAATTGGACACTGGCGGTAATGTACCCTTCTGAGGCCTAACAATAATTGGAGCCCTACTCAAATAGCTGCTGCAACTCACACCGCTCAGGCAGGCCCTGCGTTAGAAAACAGCCAGCCTTGCAGGGATGTTGACAAGCACCAACCTGAATTTGGAGCACACGTCCCATTGACTTTCATGCTTATTTTTACATGCAGTTTGATAACGGAGAAGCTGCTGGACTTGTCCTAGGAAACTGTGGCCTCTCTGCAAGCCAGTTTCCTTGTAGACTTATTTCTCTGCCCCAATGTTGTTACTAAGGCCATTTGTCAGGAAATGACAGTAGCTATTGCTGATGCTATTATCTGTTCTGTCTGCTTATTCCACCCACACAGCCCAATCCCACTTCTAATGATGTCCATGG